ATGGAGACTCCCGGGGATCATCACCAAAGCTGCAGAGTTCATGCTTTGTGCGATCCTCTCGGCAGGCGGCTAGCCATTCTGCAGAAAGAGACCGAGCCATATGGGATAAAACCCAGCGCAATGAAGATGATCCACTTGACTTCAACTTGGAGCTCATTTTAGGTTAGGTTGACCTGGGAGCAAAGGCAAATAAAAAAAAATAAAAAAGTTTCTTGCCAGCAAGCGAGTGTCTAGCCACTAATAAATGTCCCATTATTAGCCTGGGTAATTCCATTAATTTAAATATTTGGGCCATATCAAGCCCCAAGGTGGATCAGAAAAAAAAAAAACAATAGCAGAAGGCGTGGTACCAGGAAAGAGAAGCAGGAGCCGACCAGCACGAAGGTGGGCACAGGATATAAGTGACACTTTAAGAAAGTGCACAAGGTGGGGAGAGAGCTGATGAGAAACTTTCTTCCAGGCACATACCATGATGAGATCAACATTCTGAAAAGGGCATGCTACATGATGATATTGATTCCATTAATCATGGCTGTTTGACCCATTTTATAAGGATGAGTTTCCCCACATTTCACAGCCGACCCAGCCAGACAAGCAAATTAAATCCTTCTAAAAATGAAGAATATACCACAGATGAGTGTATGTAACCAATCACACTAACCACTAAAAAACGTTGCCTGTATACAAAGCATTTACTAGATTACTGCAGCTAAACATACTGGCACATACGACAGGAATGTAACACATACTGCTCTAAGCATTATCCTTTTAACATTGTTTACTTAGAGAAAATGTACAAGGACAATTATTTTATAATTCAGGAGAATGCTATAGAAAGCATGTACCAAACTACTGCATTTAAACATATTGGCACATATGACAGGAAAGTAACTTAACACTACTTTTACCATTACCCTTATTGTTATTAACAACACAGAAGCTAGTACAAGAATGATCATTTTAAAATCCAAAAGAACTTCACCATCACCAGTCATTTTATCAAACATTACACTGTTACATAAATTCATATAAATAACTCTCAAAAACCATAAATATCTGTTATAATAAGATGGTGTCATGAATGGGACCTTGCATATATGACAATGAAATCATGTTTATGGCAAAGTTATAATGAAATAACATAAATGACAACAAATCCTACATGGTAAATATTATCTGACATCATGGTTTGTTTTCATTAATATTTCACATTTTAAAATTACCCATATTTACAGAAGGGGGGGAAAAAAAAAAACTGTCATAGTTAGTGGATATTTTAACCAAAACCATGACAATGTTTACATAGCTGCTTTATGAGTCAACTCAAGGTAAATAAGTATCCAGCAAAGTACAGAAAGGACAAACTGAAACACAGATGCTAAGACAACATACAGCTACGTACATAATTTCACAAGATAGAATGATTCACAATTTTAAATCTGCAGCTGCCTTCTTCTTCTGTTTTGCTCTCTCTATTGGCCTGCTTGCCTAAAGATCTGACCACACTGAAATTTAAAAATCTCCATCCAGATGAGTGGCCAACAGGACAAATACCTGATCATCATCATCATGTGCCCTGCCAACTGGCCTAGGTGCTCATGCATCTCCACAGATCACGATCTCTGGTTGCGTGGAACAGCTCTCTTGATAATATCCCATCCTGTCATCTTTTCAGCCCATCCAGCATTATCTGTCTTGGTCTGCCTCTACCCCTTTTTTATCTTTCCAGTTGTCATGATGTTTTCATACTGCTCTGTTTCATACTGCCCATCCAGCATTATCTGTCTTGGTCTGCCTCTACCCCTTTTTTATCTTTCCAGTTGTCATGATGTTTTCCAACGCCTCTCTTCTCATTATGTAGCCAAGGAACAGTGTCTGTCTCCTTCTTTAGCTTCTTTTAAACAATCGTTATTAGTTACTCTGGCCATCCAAGGTATTCGTAACATTTGTCTCAGAAACCACATTTCTGTTGCTTCTAAATACCTCTTAATTTGTCACTGACATTCCAAGATTCGCTGCCATACAGCAGAACAAGTTCTATGTAACATTTTAGCACTCTCTTTATGACATTAAATGAGAGCGACCTATTGCATATTTTTTTTCATTTTCTTAAATGCTGCCTACGCTTGACCTAATCTGCTTTTAGTTTCTGTCACATATTTTTTATCTGATGATATGACTGTTCCCAGATATTTGAACTTATTGACTTGATCAAGTCTTTTTCCTTCAACTGAGATATCACAAAGTGGTGTTATCTTCTTCTTTGATATAACCATTACTTCTGTTTTCTTAATATTCATCACCTGATACAGCTATTTTTGCAGACCAGTCGGCATTTGATGGGTAATGTGGTTAACATCACACTGTCACCTTTACTTCCCAGGACATTACCTGGTACCCATGTTATACTTTGTCAGCCTGGGAGTCAAGGCCATTTTTTTTTTAAACAGCTTCGATGCAGATTTGAACCTAGGCTGGCAGGCGAACATGCGATGCACTACGATGTTTCCTCGATCCTCTAAGATAATTCCCTGAAAACTCTGAACATTGCCTACTACCCTCCACCCCCCCCCCTCCTAATTTTTAAAAAATGAAAATGTGTTGACTCCAGTGCTGCAGTGGCTGGACAAAATATTCCTGGTACCTATTTTTGAAGCTGGGTGAGCCTAGGTTGGGTAAAATAATCCTGATATCTATATTTTGACGGTCTCTGTGACTTAGGTGCTGTGAGCATGCTTCCTAATGTTCAGGTGCTGGTTTCGATCAAAGCTGCAGGCAGTTTGGCAGCAGACCACCTTGCATTGCTTTTGGCAGTGGTATTGAGTGCCAGCCGTTCAGAAGCAATGGCAAACTACAAAACTGCTTAGTTAAATCATAAGCCGCCAAAAATTATTGGGGTTGGTTTTGCAAACTCCTGTTAAAGGACACCCAAAACTTTATTCTATATTTTTAAGTTCAGAATGACGTCAGGGCAACACTTCTTCTTCGTCAGCATTTTGAGCTGTTGAGGTCCATTGCTGCAGATATCACTCGCCTCCATTCATCTCTCTGGTTAGCCTTCTCTTTCCAGTTGGTGACAACAAGAGTTTGCAGGTCTGTCCAGACATTATCTCTCAATCGTCTTCTTGGTCGACATCGTTCAGCTCCCCTTGTGTATACAGTTTCTAACCTCTCTGTCATGTGACATTCCCTCAATATGCCCCAGCTGGTTCAGTCTATTAGCTCTCATGATGTCAGTGATCAAAGAGCTACACAAGTTAAACAAATTAATCCTGGTACTCATTTTTACTAAATACCGAATTTCAGCATAACCTGTTTGCTGTGAAGTTGTAACTGTGATTAACTGATTTTTCAAAATAATAATTAATGAACCTAAATGTTGCAATATGACTGGTTAAAAACAAACAAATGCAAGACAGGCCTGTGGACAGAGCAAGAAAAAGTTAGCTATAGATCTTTTACAGGACAATGCAGAACCAACTCCAGCATTTTTTGGTTGATGTGATTTTTCTAGGCAAATTTACGTCCAGTAGTTTGACATTGCTTTCTGCATGGTCGGCTTTTCGATACCACTGTCGAACCCAAGGCATGCAGCTAGGATTGCACCTGGCACTACAAAGAACATTCGCAGTGCCTAAGCCAAAGATGCTGAAAGAGCAACAATACTCTCAACAATTAAACATTCTGATACATTTACAAGTCAGTTGCAAAGCAGTCTGAATTTGTCTAACAGTTTAAAAAAAAAAAAACCAGCAGGAATCCTGATGTCTCAAATAGAATGTCACAAATCAAGGAACTTTCTAAAAAAAAAAAAAAAAAACATAGTTATGTAATGTAAATTTTAAATTAAATTTCACATAAACAAAAAAACTATGAATATTTAAAAAAAAAAAACCACAAAAAAAAAACAATGACCAACACAAATGCTTAAGTTACAGAAAGAGTGACAGCAATTTACTTACTTACATTACAAAATATTACAATCAAATCTACAATCAAATCACCTGACACATAGCACCAGCAGTGATCAGTCAGAAAACTAAATTGTTATATCAGCATAACCAAGACTCAAATCATTTATGTAACATGAAAACAGTTCACTTGATTAAAAGTGAAACAGGCTCCATGGCTGCTGTCACTCAGGGAATGTGAATCATCATGTAGATGGTTGTACAATAACAAATCATTACAATAAAAGCAATCAATCCCACATGTTCACACAATAGCCCTTGTCTGGTTTTTTTATGTTTCTGATTGTCATGGGTCGACAGTTCAGGTACTTGTGCGGTTGGACGTGTGCATGATCAAAGGGTAAGGTGACAAACTGTCTTGTGTCCTGTAACTCATGTTCACTTGTGTCACAGTTCGTTCGTCACCTTACACCATCACCTTACTCTCAGAAGACAGCCCAGACCTCTCCGTCACCTTACACTATCACTTTACTCTTGGACGATAGCCCAGTCCTCTCCGTCACCTTACATTATCACCATACTATCAAAAGAGAGCAACGTGTTTCCATACCTGTATTCTTCATGTGGAGCTTGCACACATCTTTGTACTGTAGTAGAAGCACAGTAGGATACTCACTCTAAGGGCAAAGACAATGTCTGCATCCATGTGCCGGCCATCTTCAATTAATGCAGCACCTGCCAGTCTATCAGCTCTTTCATTACCAACAATATATATTTTTGTGTGTGTGTGTGCGCACACACTCATCTCCCACATTCTTTAACAGTTCTAATGAAGCAACTGGTCAACAAATCTCACATCCTCACATCCGTCTGTGATCTCTTGTTTCCACCATGGGCCTTACTTTAAATTAACTGTGGTGACAATCCTGCCCTTCAGCCTTGCTTGTGGCAATTTTTTAAAACACATTATAAATCTCTTTCTACAGGAAAACCCCATTTATTTTAACATTCAAATAACCTCTATTAATTTTGAAGCCTGTAAGAATTTTTTTCCCAAACTTTGTGAGCCTAAAGTAAATTGTATCTCAATTAAAATTTACTTTTAATTTTCCATACACCTAAAGTATAACGCAGTCGTATTAATATTATATCTCTTCCCATCTGCAACCAGCTCCAAACTGGCACCATTTTTGTACCTGAGGAGGGGAAACAATATACTATTGAGAGTAATAAACTAAAACATGATCACAATTACTATCATCAAGTGCTCTGAGAACCGCTCTGAGTGATCATGTCTCTCCAAAACTCTTGCTTTCTGCCACCATGCACATCTTTAACTTTACAGGAAATGTCTACCCAGGCAGCTGCTACTTTGACTTCTAACTTAAGATGTCCAAATATCTAACCACATACTAGTTACATATTTGACTTCTAACATACTAAATGAGAAATACCACATACTAGGAAATGTCTACCCAGGCAGCTGCTACTTTGACTTCTAAATAAGTTCATATACCACATACTAGGAAATGTCTACTAACTTAAGATGTTCAAATATCTAAATGAGTTCATATACCACATACTAGGAAATGTCTACCCAGGCAGCTGCTACTTTGACTTCTAACTTAAGATGTTCAAATATCTAAATAAGTTCATATACCACATACTAGGAAATGTTGTTCAAATATCTAAAATGAGTTCATATACAAGATGTTCAAATATCTAAATGTTCATATACCCCCAGGCAGCTGCTACTTTGACTTCAATTGACTTCTAACTTAAGATGTTCAAATATCTAAATAAGTTCATATACCATGAGAAGTTAATACACTGCAAGAAATAGATTCTTTGAACCAGTACACATTTTCACATAAAATCTTTTCATTCTGAGATGCTGCCAATCAGGTGAAATAATCCCTTCACAAATCTCAGCAAAGCCGTTGAACTGGCACTGCTGGATTGACCAGCTCCCAATGGGACCAGTTAATGTCATTGGTTCTGTGGCATCTGTGCAGTGTTTAGATGTGCTAGATATGATTATATTTACTAAAAATAGCACTGGGTGGAAAGAACATGCATGCAGAAGCACCTAAAAGGGAAATCTCCTGGTGTTTATATCTTACCCAGACATCACAAGGCAGAACAGCATCAAGATGAGATGAGATAAGATTGTTGGTTCTATACCAAACAGCAATGCTGGTGATTTTACCCTAAATGCATTTTCAGGACTGTTATTTGTCACTTAACAATACGTTATTTGTCACTTTACAATTTTATCAGACAAACATGTGAATTCCGACCCCAAATAGGTCTAAATGAAGAATTACTTTCCATGCAGCTAAACAATTTTCATTTGCCACTCAATGTTCAAATACAATTTTCTCGAGACAATGATTCAGTGCTTGGGTGACTTTAGTGTAGTGCCAATGACATGTACATTCTTCTTGACCTATGACCTATGAGACTTACAACTATCCATATTTATGACCCAAAAGGAAATACTAATAGTAAGTAAAAAAAAAAATATAACTACATTGGTAGGGTCAAAAAGTTTCTGAAACTGATGCCTAGAGTGCAGCAGGGTCTAATTACACTTACACAAACTGAATTTGTCTTAGGTACAATTTGTATAACCCATCTGGATGAAAACAGTGTTAAAACATAAATCTGATTTACGATCAATTCAATTAAATATATAAATATATACCTTCAATTTCATGCCACTCCACTGGAACTTCAGCCACAGATATTCCAAAGTACTGTGCAATATATAGCAAATCAACATCGAAGGCCCTGAATGGAATAAATAATGGCCCCTATAAGGTAAGTACTTATCAAGCTCACATAATACATTTGGGTAAAACATTTTAGCAACTCGTCCCTAGTGGAATATTAGGTTGGAATATTGATGCTACTACTTTCAACTGCTTTTTGAAGTGAGGCCTGCGACTACCTTGGCAGTGCCAAACCAAATGATTTCACAGACCTCATAGATCCTGAACATTCCTCACTAGTATTCATTCAATAACATGAGGAAAATAGTAACAACTAGAGAGATTATAAATTTAAAAAAAAAAAAAAAAAAGAATATTTAAGTACTCATTGTCATGTAGCAGGTCCTTTGCAGAACGTCACTTTCCTCACAGTCTGCTCGAAAGAGACTCGGGTCTCCCGCAAGCCCTACGGTCTCATGCACTTTTCTACCAAAGGTGTCACTTATATCACGTGCCCATCTTCAAGATCATCGGCCCCTGTCCCTCTTTCCTAGTACAATGCTTTCTGCTATTGTTTTTTTTAATATTTGCAGTAGCACTTGACATAGCCAAAATATTTCAGTTTTTGAGACGAACTTATTGAGACGAACAAGCAAACTTCTGTGATGCTCAGATGGGTTGACAATGCAATGCATGGACAATAAACAAACAGAATATCAAGTGAGGCAAACGAAATGCAATATAAAAGAATTCGAAATATTTCATGGAAACAATCATATACGTCCTGTGGGGTCATTTATACATCACACAGGACTCACAGTTTATTTCTTCCCTACGTTCTATACTGCTCTCTCTTTTAATTCAGTCCAGAATCTCTGGCCTCTCTCATCAACATTTGTTTCAAGGTTTCTCTGTGGTATCTACATTTTTTCAGTCCATTTGTTTCCCATTGCAGTGCCTGCCTGATGATTCTCTGTCCATTTTTTTTCAGAATGTGCCCAATATTTAGCCATCTTCTGAGGTTTTTAAGGTTTTGAAAAACGGATCAACATCATGGGACACGGGTGTAACCCATAAGTGCTCAGTTCTTCTTCTAACTTAAGTCTGAGTCCGAAGAAGCTTAGCACAGTGCTAGGCACTGTAGCACTGGCGAGGATCCTGAAATACTTTGGGTAGTTTTTCAACTCCATATTTTGCCCGGGCAGCGCCGTTATACTACTCTTTTTGATTTCCAACTGCCGAGGGATTTTTTACGTGCACCAGATCTCACTACCCAGAGACCAGGGAAATTACTGGAAGTCCAAATCCATGTAAAAATATCCCAGCCCTTACCGGGGATTGAACCCGGAACCTCAAGCACTCGAGGCCGACACCATGCCTCGAGACTATGCAGCCCCCTAAGCCATCTTCTTTGTCTTATAACTGATAATACAAGTGGTTGTCCAGAGATTTCTAGTACTCCTGGCATTTCTTGAATTAATTTCCTCCTTTAATTTTCAACATTTTCCTTAGGCATTTGTTTTCAAATGCTCTGAAATTCCAATCCATGCATTTAGTATTCTTCAACTTTCACCAGCATATAGAAATAATAACAAATATGAAAAGTCTAGACACACAGGAAATGAATAGAGAGCAGAAGTAGAGGACTGGATGTCTTGCCTTTTCAGGTAGGGTTTACCCATTTGAGAATCAGCACTGTAGCAAACCCACAGATGCTTCTGCAGCATGTCTCAAGGTGTAGATACTTTAAAAAAAAAATATCCAGAAACCATGAGTTTTGGCTCGGTACTATGGATATCTCAACCCTTCGGCCTTGATTCCATGATAGGTACCGTAAATCTGGGAGAAATGTGGCTTTTCTGCCTACCCACGGGAGTGAACCCGGACCACAAGGAGTTCGTCAAACGGTCACCGCGATGTCAGGTTTAACCAACTGAGCTAGAGAGCCGAGCCGGTATAGATACTGACAGTTTCAGTAGCAAACATGTCTAGCTTTCTCTCATACGTCCTTTCAACAGGATCTTGACCTAATTCCAAATGTGCAGGAACTTACATGTGTTATTTCATCTAAATCATATCTTCCATCAGCATTCATGCATAATTTGTTTTCAGAATGTCTGCCAAGTCCAAATATGAATGTTCTTATTTCAGTCGTTCAGTTGCCAAATAATCCGTTCTTTTATCATCTAACACTCTTGCATATCCTAGGCACATGTGCACTTGTGCAGTATCAAAATACTGCATACTTTAAGAACATCTCTGCGGTTGTAAATTGAAAACAGAACGCTAAACAAGCTCATTTTATGGCAAAATTCTGAATGAAAAATTTGCTGAAATGAGAATATTTATAGCCTGTGTGACTACAGTGTGCATATAGAGAGAGAAATCACATTGGGCCGGTAATGCTGAGAGTGGCCAGCGGGTGCTATGGAGGTGGAAGTCAAACAGCTGATTCTCGACAATTCATGCCGGTGATCCAATTGTCTATACAGATGGTTCGGTGTGGAGAAGAAATAGAAGTGCCTGGGCGTTTGTGGCGAAAGCCAATGGAAAATCTTTAGTGCAAGACAGCCTAGCATACGACACCACAACATCTAGCATAAGAATGGAGGTGGAGGTGGTAACTGTGGCTCTCCGGTGGCTAGAGAACAAGATACATACACATGTGGTAATTGTAACAGACTCTGAAAGAATGCTGAGAAAGGTGAAGACAAAGATGCTTCGAGCAGAGTGGGAAGCTTCCCTGGGATGGTCATGGGTAGTGAGCATACTTTGGATTTTTTTCTACAGGCCATGACGGCGTGGTGGGTAATGAAAAGGTAAACAGATTGGCTGGATCTGCACCACCGGGTGGTGAATTGAAACATGACAAGGCTGATGTGGTCAAGGCCCTTTGAGAACAAGCAATGGAATCAGTAGAGAAACAAGATAATTATGGCCTGGTGAGAATGAAGCACCTGGGTGTAACCAGATGGTCTAGCCAGCTCACTACACTCAGAGGAAAGGCAAGACGGACATGTAACCAGATTGTGACCAGCACCATCAGTATTGGAACTCTGAGCTGACCGCTGAAGATGAGGATGGAGCATGCATGGGAATGCCCAGAGTGCTGTGATGTCAATTCTTAACTCAACTATAGAGAGAGAAGACAGATGACAAACACATATGTACGTAAAAGAGCAGAATGGGAGCAGACCACCTGAGATAACATTCAGGTTGATCCACACATTTTTAAAGAAGAAAAGGTTGATCTCAGAAATGAACAGGGGTGGGAGGTATCTGCAGAAAAAAAATACCTCAAGGGTTCGGAATGATGAACAAGAAGAAAAGGAGAAAGAAGAATAAGAAATGATTTGAGCGTGGAGACATGTAGATTTTTCGCAAGTGCCTCTGAGTTCATGAACCACGAGATTCTCCTAGTGTGACCTGTAAGGGGTTGAAGGCATCCAAATGAAAAAAGTAGGGGGAAAAAATGATCCTCTGCAAACAACTAAAGAGAAATGTAAAGCACAAGAGATGCTACATGTAACTTCTTGCACTAAGTACAGCCATAACTGTCCACAATTATATCACTAAATTGATACATTATTTTATATATAAACAACGACAAAACTTCTATTACTGTATTGGGTCTTAAAGCCTGAGGAGTTAGGGCAGCATGGCTAGTGCTGTCACCCCCGTGCAGGTTAGGATTTTATTTTTTTCCCTACAGAAAAAACCCATAACCTTACTGAACCTAGGTCTCCCACACGAAAAAACAGCGTTTTTATCCATTTCAGCCAGCTGCCCCTCTTAAACAATGAAACAGTCGAATAATTAATCCCTTTATTGTATCCTTGTTCTGAACTTTAAATATCTAAACATAATTTCTGATATTTATTATTAAGCAGGCTTACCATCTTTCAACATGAAGGTTTAAAAATAGCAATATGGCCGCTTCACGGCTGAGTAGCTTGAACCCACATTGAGTGTCTTTAATGCCTCGTACACACAACAACCAGACCACAAAATGAAAGCCCAACATGAGGACTGTACGGAACAAGGATCGCTGCAAAATAGGATCAAATATAAAAATTAATCTTTACAATATTTAAACATACACTTGTTTCTTAAACAAAATGGATACCTCACGCAAATGGCCACCATACACTGACAAATTATTTTAGGATAATAGAAGTGTTCTGCAACACTCTGTATCAGCAACTGGAAAGACAAGGCCAACCAGAGAGATGAATGTAGGTGTGTCACATCTACAGCAGTGAAACTCAAGGATTCAGAATGCTGAAGAAGAATAGGGATGATCAATCCACACAAAAAAATGTGAAATGCCTGTCAAAACTGAAAGATAGGAAGTGCTATTCAAACAAAAATTTAACACAATGAAGCACTAAGGTGAGGCTAAATTCTCATTCATTGCCATGTTGTGCCATTATATGTCACATTAGTATCAATCTTTTTCTTGATTCTCCTCTATCCTATACTATCATTTCAACCTCATGGGACTGAATCCAGTCAAACGTCTTTGGTTTCTCTCGTCAGCGTCTAATTTATTGTTTTTTTACAGATGTCCTCATTTCCCCGATCCCTTTATTTAATATTTCAGTGTTTGTTTGGTTGATTCTCTGTCGCTTCTCACTTGTTTGTAGAAATTTATGTTTGAGGTGTAATCAAATGAAACCTAATCCAACGGCTTTAATACGAATCTATGAAAGTATATTAGCAGGTATGAGAGAATGAAACAAAGTAACTGTTATGGAGATACCGATCTAGATTAAACTGTAACAGATAAAGTCTGAAATGAAAAAGATAACAGAATTTTAATTCCAATGACAAAAATAGGTTTGGAAAACACAAAAACAAGTGTCATCTTGAGAGTGAGGACCATAGTGGGAGTGATGAGGAAGCATCAACCGACGAGTAAGACTAGATGTTATCAGTGCAAAATGGAGTCAATTACCGGTATTGTTTTCACAAAGTATGTTTCAAAATATTGTACTGTTTATTAATAAATTTTGTACAACTAATAAGTAGGCCTAATATCTAAAATATAAAACAGCACCCTATTTTTCATCAACGATGTTTGGTTCTGAACTCTGGACCGTGGACTGAGGTGACAACAAGTATTTAGAGGTATTAGAGACGAGTTGCCAATAATTCATGGCAAGAACTGATCAGCACACAAGGTCTGGGAAGTATAAAAAATATATATGAAAAACAATATTTCCATGCATGTGTGGGTTCCGAGGATCCACTGTGGGGGGAAAAATAACAGACCCAACGCTACCTTAACAAGCATGTTATAAAAGTTGTCAGTAAGTCAAGGAGTCAAGTTCGCATCTGCCTGAGAGGTGAGGAACCAACAGTCTGCACACATACAAGCAATATCTATGAAGTAGATGTACAATCAAAACTCAAGTTCTTGAACATGACTAATGTCTAGAAGTGGATGAATAACCAAAACTGACAACTGGTGCTAACAGTCTGTGAGCACAAAGAAAAAAATACTTCTAAGATTTAAAAAACTTTAAAAAAAGAGAAGGAAGATTTTAGGTTTCCACATTTAAAGACATAAAGAAACTTAAAAAAAGGGAGAAAAAAAAAATATATATATATAATATTAAGGCATGCAAAAATGAATCAATGCAGAAATATGTGAAATTCAGAGAAGAAAACCCTTTGGAATGAGCAGTTCTAGTGTGGGTGCTGGGACCCAGTTTTAGAGGGAAAAGAATAAATTCACAGCCCACCATGACAAGCATGTCATAGAAGTAACTAATTCTGCCTGAGAAGCGAGGAACCAACCGCACATTATTAAGCCAGACCTGTAAAATGTATGTGCACACAAAACTCAACTTTCTGGGACAAAACCACAGAAGTGAATGAAAACAACTAGAACTTTCCGTCAGAGATTACAGCTGCAAACACTGAGAATAAGATAAGGAATAAGCAGAAAGCTTCACAGCTACCTTGAGAGCTGACAAAAATTGAAAACAAGTGACATTTATTTGATGATAACAATAGCAATCACAAAGTGGCTGACTCACTTTAACAATGGAATCCTTTTCCATGTGAGCTCTGGAACCACAGCTAACTGCCATCTGCTCCTACAAATACAAAACAGAAAATATTGTACTCTGTTATTTTGCCCATGTGATTATCCTTTCCACCAACCTCACATGCATTCACTAATCTAGTCTGTGTATTTACATGTCCGTATTGCCAAATGTCAAAGTACACTTACTCTGTCAGCAAGGCCGTAGTATTTATTGTCCAAAGGCAGTATGCCTGTTTACCTTTCAATTTTTACATTTTGTAGTGTGGCCTCTAATTTCTACCTCTTTCATCTAGGACTTCCAATCAATACCTGTGAATTTATTACTGCAGTAGTCTCAAGGATTCCCAAAAAGTTATATTTTATTGTGTATCCTATATACATGTTTAAAGTCAACTAACAAAACGTAGCTACTAAAAAACTATTTTATTAGTTGACATTTTTATTAATGCACTTGTCCTCCTAGTATGAATGGCTTATAAAGAAATTTCTAATCTGCTAGACGTTTGGAATGCACATCCGATGGACCACATAAGGCCTAAGAGATCATTTAGTCATCTGGCCCAGCCAAGGCAACCAACACTGATATTCTGACCAAAAACTATATTGGTTAACAAATGATGTTATACATATGCAAAAGTCTCTTGGAAAAAAAAGATTGCCCAACCATGTACTTGTCACTGGCAATTAATCGTAAATACTTTGCAGATATTCATGTAATCCTCAAACACAAACAGATGGACAAAAATCTAGTTCAGAAAATCTTACCAGCTTTCTCAATTTCTTGCTTTGCTTTTCTGCTTTATCCAAGGCATTTTTCTTTAGCGAATTGAGACTGTCCTCTAGTTTATCCAAGTCGCTGAATCTGCTGGCTCCATCAGCATCAACAAACAAGATGTTTTTGCCTCTACTGGACAGAACCCCCTAGAAAGACAGTTCCAGCATCACATAAGACATAAGACATAGCAACAGAAACTAATAAAGTCTAAAATAAATACAATATCTGTATACTTCAGTATCTCATTATTCTATCCTCTATCTGTAGTGTACATGACTGTCTTATCAAGACATAGTCTGACTCATGGGATTCCTGTCAAGCGTACAATGGAACTGAAGATGTAGCAACAGATAAATGTAGTCAATTACTTATAGTCAGGATCAGTAAAACAAGTGAGCAAAGAACCAATTCATCTCTAAATGGTGATTCTGGAAGAAAAATGTTGAATGCTGAATTAAAAATTTAATCACAGCACTCGAGACACTCCTATAAGTGCCCTGTCCCCATCTTCAGCAGCAAGCAAAGAGTTAAAATTCCGATGGTACCAGTAACTGTCTGATTGTAAACCCATCTCGCCTTTCCCCTGAGTGTGGACCTGATCCCATTGTAACACCTTGCAGCACCATTCTCCCCAGACCGTAATGATCTTTCTGTGCCTCGGCACTATTCACTCGTTTCCAAAGGGCCCTCACAGCATCTAGCTTTTCATACATCAGTTCACCACCAAGTGGTGCAGAACCGGCCAGTCTATCTGCCTGTTCATTTCCCAACACACCGGCATTACCTGGAGAAAATATCCAAATGATGCTAACTAACCGGGACCTTTGAAGTGATGCTTGCCACTCTGCACGGAGCATGCCTGTCTCCACCTTTCTCAACATGCTCTGAGTCAGTTACAATCACAACATGTATGTACAGCTGATTCTCAAGCCAGCAGTGACTGCCTCCACCTCCATTCTCAAACTAGACATTGTGGTATCATATGCCAGGCTTAGTTGCACCAAGTGATGTCCATTCGCCTTCGCTATGAACCCCCTCTTAGTCTACTTCTCAACACAGAGCCATCTGTATAGATAATCACATCACCTGGGCGGGGATTATTATAAATCATTTGTTGAACTTCTGAATCTGCATCACCAGCTGGCCAGTATTCTGGAAGAAAGCCACATCAGTACAGCCTGGCAGTTGGTGGAAGCAGCAAAGGTGGAAGGCAAAATGCTGACCTTGACAGTTCATACTGATTCAGAAAACTCAAGCTTCTGTTCTCCAAGTCAAGTTTCTGACTAGAGAAACTCAAGCTTCTGTTCTCCAAGTCAAGTTACTGACTAGAGAAACTCAAGCTTCTGTTCTCCAAGTCGAGTTTCTGACTAGAGAAACTGAAGTTTCTGGTCTCCAAGTCAAGTTTCAGACTAGAGAAACTAAAGTTTCTGTTCTCCAAGTAGTCAAGTTTCTGACTAGAGAAACTCAAGCTTCTGTTCTCCAAGTCAAGTTTCTGACTAGAGAAACTCAAGCTTCTGTTCTCCAAGTCGAGTTTCTGAATAGAGAAACTGAAGTTTCTGGTCTCCAAGTCAAGTTTATGACTAGAGAAACTCAAGCTTTTGTTTTTCAAGTCAAGTTTCTGACTAGAGAAACTGAAGTTTCTGTTCTCTAAGTCAAGTTTCAGACTAGAGAAACTCAAGTTTCTGTTTTCCAAGTCAAGTTTCAGACTAGAGAAACTGAAGTTTCTGTTTTCCAAGTCAAGTTTCAGACTAGAGAAACTGAAGTTTCTGTTCTCCAAGTCAAGTTTCTGACTAGAGAAACTCAAGCTTTTGTTTTTCAAGTCAAGTTTCTGACGAGAGAAACTGAAGTTTCTGTTCTCTAAGTCAAGTTTCAGACTAGAGAAACTGAAGTTTCTGTTTTCCAAGTCAAGTTTCAGACTAGAGAAACTGAAGTTTCTGTTTTCCAAGTCAAGTTTCAGACTAGAGAAACTGAAGTTTCTGTTTTCGAAGTCAAGTTTCTGACTAGAGAAACTAAAGTTTCTCTTCTCCAAGTCAAGTTTCGGACTACAGAAACTTAAGCTTCTGTTCTCCAAGTCAAGTTTCAGACTAGAGAAACTGAAGTTTCTGTTCTCCAAGTCAAGTTTCTGACTAGAGAAACTCAAGCTTCTGTTCTCCAAGTCAAGTTTCTGACTAGAAAAACTGAAGTTTCTCTTCTCCAAGTCAAGTTTCAGACTACAGAAACTTAAGCTTCTGTTCTCCAAGTCAAGTTTCTTACTTAGATAAGACTTAGATCAGGAACAAGATATGAATTTTCTGCCCAGGACTCTCTAGGATGCGAGATAATAAGTAGGCTGAAAGTGGCTGCTCCTCCTGTGAGGGAAGAGGTGGGGGTTAGGAAATTAGCTACTTTATGAAACTATCATGAACTTGCCCGCACAGTGAGAGTTCCTTCTCCTCCCATTCATGCCGCAGCCGGTTGCACGGCCTGTCCTATACTGTGGGGGGCGTTATGAGATAGCTTCATTTGGCATTAGCTCACTGTATATAATGTTTGTGTGAGGTTGTGATGTCGTGAGTCTCTTTGAGACGCCTGTGTATAAGTAAGAAGTACTGCAGACTGTTCATGAGTATCGAAACTGGAATGTTTTTGTATTTCTACGTTCCTTGACTCGGTACCAGGTGCAGTCTTGGAAAGTAAAGTTGGCCAGCATGATGCTGACTACATTACCCACCTAGTGAGGATTAGTCTATAAAATATATGTCTAGCCCTATATGCCTGAAGGCGTGGAAAAGGGTCCTTTACGTTTTTTTCAGGAAGGAGACATGGCGTGTATGGCCCGAGAGCAAATATGTATAATCTTGATTCATTCATGTCTGACACTGGTAAGACTATATAAGTTAGATATTTATAAAGTAACAGCAAATAGGTATTTATAAAAAAAAAAAAAAATTAACAGGTGTAAATATTTATAAAGTAATAAGTTACACTGAAAGTAAAAATCTTACAAGCCTAACAGCACCACCTTTTCCTCTATTCTTGTACAAGGTCAGAACCCTGACCTTCTCCGTGCCATATTTTTCGGAGTGCATCAGCCCAACCTGCAATAGATCAATCATGCAAATGAAACAAATGCAAAACACCACTTCAAAAAGATACAGGAAACAACAAATATTTAAAGTGATAGTGGGTGCAGTTCAAAGGAATCTGCAATAATGCTAACAATGAAATATCATTCACCTGCTTCAAGGAAGTCGATCAGAGGTTATGGTATCTGCAAGTGACAAGTGCAGATCTGACCTGATCTCAGAGGTTATGGTATCTGCAAGTGACAAGTGCAGATCTGACCTGATCTCAGTGTTTACTTGAACTTTTCCATTCTTATAAGCAGAAGCATGGTTTATCCTTCTGATCATGAGCTAGCCAATCAGATGTCTAGTTTTCTCAGACAAGGATGAAAACTCAGGGGATCCAACTGTATAATAAACACATTAAAAATATTCCGCAGTTAGAAATCTAAGATACCAGGCTGGACTGGCAAACTGCCCAGGCAAACTGTGAAATTAGAAAAGCTACCCACACATAAATATTTAAAGCACACATGATTCTAGTATTCCAAACATCTGGATCCACACAAGTGCTAACATATTCATGCATTGTGCTGAGATTTTGGTGTGAGCTATACGAGCAGACCCGAGCATCTAAGGAGAAATATGTGGGCAACATATTTTTTTTTTCTAAACCAAACCAATAAAAGTTTCTTCAGCTGCCTACTGCAGTTGGCACTGTGTCAAGTATTTCCCCCCCCAATAACATTAGGTGTTAGGTTATCTGTTATGATCTGGGTTATCTTCACAGTACTCTGGACATGTCCACATGTGTTAGGTGTTTTACAGGACTTAACAGTTTACAAAATAAATATGTGATGTGCAGAAAGAGTGGGAGAGAAAAAGTTTGGTGGGGGAGGGTATGTTTGTGTACACATGATATACCATGAAATATGGGTGCATATTATTATGGTGTAACAAATATGTACTTTTCATAATGAAAGTCAAGTCTCACATAATGTATCAGATCTTTCGCGAGATGTTGTTCTCATCAGAGTCCACCTTTAAAAAAAAAAAACTGGTGGAAAGACCTGGTTGTTAGTTCATTTCTGGACTTTGGCTTTATTCCAGGACCTGAGTTTTGCGTTTGTGGATCCATTTTACAAATCTTGCTTATTTGTATGCAAACTGTTGGTTCCTTGCATTTCAGGCAGATGCACTCCAACTCGGAAGGAAGTCCCTGATTGGTTGACTCTTGCGACATGATTGTTGGGAAGGCAGTGGGTTTATTCTTGTTTTTCCCACAATGGGACCCCAGAACTCACACGGGAATATGTCTGTTGTGATAATAACAAAAGAAATATAGCACGCAGCTCCTAATTTAAACAATCAAACCAGTGAAAAGAAAAGCAATAAGTAAAACCCTATAAACTCACCTCTGATGTCTGATCAGAGCTTCCATCATCAACAATAATGACTTCATATGTAAAACTGGAATCTTGTGACTGGCGCTTCTCTAAGTAGTCCATAGCTTCTTCTAACATAATAGGCACTGAAAATATACCCAAACAAATGAATACATATAAATATACATAACCAGTTCAGCTACCCCTAAACTTCTGTATGGCAGCTGCAGCATTGTAGTGGTTAGATGCTCACCTACAGGCTTAAAGGTCTAGGGATCAAATCTGCAATTGCATTAATGTCACAAGTGACCTTGGCTCCTAGGTCGACCTAGTCTAAAATGGGTACCAGGCAGGGAAAGGTGGTAGGCATGATAATCTTTTTTCTTCTTCGCGTTCACCAGCAGTAAACTCCGCCAAAAATTATGGTTGTTCGCCCACTTCTTTACTCTAGCCCTGTTCCAGACACTGAGTGTTGCGTGTAAATCTGTTTCACAGGTCTCACTCATCTGCATGCAGATTGTTGGTTTCTCGCTTCTCAGGCAGATATACTCTGACTTTGAATGAAGCTCTCAATTAGTCGGCTCTTACGACATGCTTCTGGACAGTGAGTCTATTCTTGTTTTCCCCACAATAAGGTCTCAGAACCCACACGGGGAAGCATGATAATGACATCACCTATCAAATGCCGACTGGTCTTTTAAAATTAGCACTTTGTGCCAAATGTGTTAAGGTGTGAAAACGGTCATCTGCAATGTTTTTAACCGCCACTGCCTGCTTCCTTCTGACTTATATTTAATGGTCTCTGCTGCTAACTCTTTGAATCCCAAAGAACGCATCATACGTTCACAAGTTCCTACCTAGAAGCCCAGCGAACGCAAGATGCGCCTATTTCACAGCTCTCTTGACTACCCCTTGGGCCTCTGATGCTAAACCCCCTGGGACTCAAAGAGTTAATTATGGACAGAAGGTCAAACAAGTCATTTTCAATGTTTTTATCATTGACTGTAACTGTTGGATGACAATGATATTTCTTTATAATAACATAATTTAAGCTAACACTCCAAAATTTAAATAATGCGGACACAAACAATACAATGCACAATTTATCGCCAGGCATTTTTCGCTGTATCTCATCAGGTGTGTTACTACAGAGTTACATCAACATAAAATGAAGCACAAAATTAAATCAATCCAACTGAAATGCGAATAGGATCTTTCGACACATCGTGTGTTTTGGTGGCCGGAAGCTCACCGTAGTCATGTGACTTACCAGGGTAACTTCAAATTTACTAAAAATTCTGTCTGCTTACAAAGGAGGGGATTGTTGATTTTAATTGTTAAAGCTTCGGCCATTCTCAACAGCGGCCTGTTCGGAGTGTGATAAACAACACGGAAAACACTATGTATCAATTACATGTCCAGAATTAAGTAGATGACGTCCTATGGAAGAAGATGGTTCTTTTCTCTAGACTGGTCTCGACACCCTTGAAGAAGCACTAAGCTGTGTATGTAGCCATTTTGGTATGTGCTCCGCCACTCTAATTCCAAGCTGTCTCTCCGTTCAACTGATGTAAGTCAACTGGCACTTAAATGTTACTTACAAATTAAAAAAAAAAAAAGGTAAGTTTCCATACACAGGGAAAATTAACATTTTTTTTAAAATGAAAACATTTCGATACATGTCCTCCACAGCTGAAGAACATGTATAAGTACAGCTGGAGTTATGCTTGTCACTGCATTGGTGATATGTGTTATGTTTTCCAAATTCTTCTGCAGTGTCAGTCTTGAACCACTGTACAGCAGCAGACTTTTCCCAACTGCATGCAGCAGAAATCATATACTGGCACATCATGTACTGTCAAATGCATTCACTAACCTCTAAAACATAATAAATTAATGTATAATTCATTCAGTGTCCTATGGTGCCATTATATGTCACCTACAGCTCAGTCTATTTCTGCATTCCTGTGAAATCACTTCAGTATAAAGGATGGAAGTCAGTACAACACATATGGCTTCTCTCATCAGTTTGTTGAATGTTGAATTCAGAATTGACATTATAGCAGTCGGGACACCTCCATAAGTGCCCCGTCCCCATCTTTAGCAACAAGCGAAGAGTTTAAATTCCGATGGTACCAGTAACTGTCTGATTGTATATCCGTCTCGCCTTTCCCCTGAGTGTCGAGTGTTAGACAAATCCCCTTGTAACTCGTCGCAGTGCCATTCTCTCCAGACTGTAATGATCTATTTTAGTGCCTGTTTGGTGATCCTCCGCTGTTCATTTCTTCTCAGAATATGTAAAGTATAGCGTCATTTTTTTAATATATTTTAACTATTGATACTAGTGGTCACCTAGAAATTTCTTATTTCTTCCCTCTTTTTGAATTCATCTCATTTTATGTTTCTCCTTTTCCTTATGTATTTGTAATAAATAATACAGATAATTATATATCTTCTCTTTGATCCTTCCGTCAGAAAACTTATATCAGGAGGCCAGTAACCATTATGAGAGTTATCATGCAGTCCATATCTTCTCATGTACATACAGCTTTTCCTTCATTGTGACTGGAACAGGCCAGATTGCCTGTCTGTTTGCAGCATACAGTTGACAGTGTTGGAGCACGTGCTCAGCATTTTTGGGTGCCAAGTTGCAGGGGCACATCTCTGTGTTTCCTACACTGAAAAGTTTAAACATATGTTGACGAAGTCTGTTGTGCCCTGTCCTTAGTCAGAATATCATACTGTCCCTCTCTAGATAGGTGATGAAGGGAGTCTTGTGGAGAGAATATGGTGTGTCGATCCAGCCACCTTTCTTGGATACTAGACTGGATTAATGTCTTAGTCTCTTGGTGGGTTAAGTTACTATCTGGTTGTTTCATGTCATTGCAGCTTCTAGCCAATCATTAAATATATATAAAGTGATTGTTTTGAAAAGAAAATACTATGTGTAGGGAGCAGTGAGAAGAATATAGGCAACTTACATCGCTTTTCTTCATTATAAGCGGGCACAACCACAGTTAAATCCAGGGTCGGCGGGTCTGTGTACTCAGGAAACAGGCGCTTGGATTTGGACTTGGGATCAAAGAAGAATTTCTCACTGTCATGTCGGCCCAGGTTTGGATATGCCGAAGTAGTCAGGAATGTATATAGCAAGAACTGAACAGATAAGGAAAAATGTATTGCATGTATTACTGTGATACAGTATTTCAAAGTACACATACTGCAGTAATAAAAAAAAAAAAAGTTAAGGTCCCTTTTCCAGGCCTTTAGGCATATAGGGCTAGACCTACATTTTTATAGACCAATCGGCACAAGATGGATTATGTGGTCAGCATCCCGTCGGCCGCCTTTACTTCCCAGGACTGCACCCGGTACCCACTAAGGCTAGGTCGACCTGGGAGTCAAGGTCATTTTTGGAAAAAGTCCGCCAGGGGGCGAACCCACGACCTTCTGATCTGCATGCGAGCATACATACTGCAATGGTTGGAAATAACTCCAAAGCAAGGAAAGGAGGCACTAACTCTGCAAAGAACTAATGTATTAAAACATACATCAGTAACCTCAAATAATTAAAAGAAGAGAAGAGAAAGTAGGGAGAACAGAGAAATGCTGAAAAAAACTAAATAATAGGCAAAGACTGAAAATCATAATGGAACATGCAAGAAATACAGGTAGGTGAGAGAAACTGAATAAGAATCCTAGAAAATGTGAAGACCAGAAATTATAACAGAACAGAAAAATGTAAGCTGACTACAGAACTTAGATAAGAACAGAACTTAAAACAGGTCAGGACTACAAATCAAATAAGAACAAAGGATATGCATGGAGACCAGAAAATAAGGACCACGGAAAAGTCTAGAATGACAGGACACAAGACACAATGAGAGCTGCTACTGCAGTCCAGTTTTCTCCAAGCAACATAAAAACTTGGTACTGATTAGTTAGACAGACATACAAGCATAATTTATTGTTTTTAATGTTCTAATTGAAGACAACATAAATAATGCTACTGCCTTTTTACACAAAAACTTCTTCATTTTTCTATTTATTACACTAAATTGCCACTACTTCCTGCTTATCAATGTTTTCTTTCTTTCTTTCTTTTTTAGCAATTTTTATTTTAGTCCGTCTAACAGGTACTTATTCTATCTGATTAAAAATGCAGGTTTTTAGTTTACTGTATGATCATCCATCATTATATGCTTAGTGCTTGTAATGTATGATCTCTCCACATGTTCTACTTTAACATCTTTAATATAGGTGCTGTAATGTCTTTACTGAAGGTGCTGTAATGTCTTTACTGAAGGTGCTATAGTGTCTTTACTGAAGGTGCTATAGTGTCTTTACTGAAGGTGCTGTAATGTCTTTACTGAAGGTGCTATAGTGTCTTTACTAAAGGTGTTGTAACTGAAGGTGCTGTAATGTCTTTACTGAAGGTGCTGTAGTGTCTTTACTGAAGGTGCTATAATGTCTTTACTAAAGGTGCAGTAATGTCTTTACTGAAGGTGCTGTAGTGTCTCTACTAAAGGTGCTATAGTGTCTTTACTGAGGGTGCTGTAGTGTCTTTACTAAAGGTGCTGTTGTGTCTGTACTAAAGGTGCTGTTGTGTCTGTACTAAAGGTGCTGTAGTGTCTTTACTAAAGGTGCTGTTGTGTCTGTACTAAAGGTGCTGTTGTGTCTGTACTAAAGGTGCTGTTGTGTCTGTACTAAAGGTGCTGTTGTGTCTGTACTAAAAGTGCTGTTGTGTCTGTACTAAAGGTGCTGTTGTGTCTGTACTAAAGGTGCTGTAGTGTTTTTACTAAAGGTGCTGTAGTGTCTGTACTAAAGGTGCTGTTGTGTCTGTACTAAAGGTGCTGTTGTGTCTGTACTAAAGGTGCTGTAGTGTCTGTACTAAAGGTGCTGTAGTGTCTTTACTAAAGGTGCTGTTGTGTCTGTACTAAAGGTGCTGTAGTGTCTGTACTAAAGGTGCTGTAGTGTCTGTACTAAAGGTGCTGTTGTGTCTGTACTAAAGGTGCTGTTGTGTCTGTACTAAAGGTGCTGTTGTGTCTGTACTAAAGGTGCTGTAGTGTCTGTACTAAAGGTGCTGTAGTGTCTGTACTAAAGGTGCCGTAGTGTCTGTACTAAAAGTGCTGTTGTGTCTGTACTAAAGGTGCTGTAGTGTCTTTACTAAAGGTGCTGTAGTGTCTGTACTAAAGGTGCTGTTGTGTCTGTACTAAAGGTGCTGTAGTGTCTGTACTAAAGGTGCTGTAGTGTCTGTACTAAAGGTGCTGTAGTGTCTGTACTAAAGGTGCTGTAGTGTCTGTACTAAAGGTGCTGTTGTGTCTGTACTAAAGGTGCTGTTGTGTCTGTACTAAAGGTGCTGTAGTGTCTGTACTAAAGGTGCTGTAGTGTCTGTACTAAAGGTGCTGTAGTGTCTGTACTAAAGGTGCTGTAGTGTCTGTACTAAAGGTGCTGTAGTGTCTGTACTAAAGGTGCTGTAGTGTCTGTACTAAAGGTGCTGTTGTGTCTGTACTAAAGGTGCTGTAGTGTCTTTACTGAAGGTGCTGTAATGTCTTTACTGAAGGTGATGTAGTGTCTTTACTGAAGGTGCTATAGTGTCTTTACTAAAGGTGCTGTAGTGTCTTTACTGAAGGTCTTCTTCTTCTGCCTTTCTATCCCCCAATGGAGCATAGGCCCTCAACCAACTCACGCCAAGTCGTTCTATCCTTCGCCATTGCATGGAGCTCTCCCCATGTCCTCCCAATCTTTCTAACTTCATTCTCCAGCTCTCTTCTCCATGTGTTTTTTGGCTTTTCTTAATTCCTATGCCCCTGTGGGTTCCAATGTAAAGACATTCTAGTTATGCTGTTCTCCTGTTTTCTCAGTGTGTGCCCTATCCAACGCCAGCGTCTTTTCCTCACCTCCTGATCCACTGGAGCCTGTTTAGTTCTCTCCCAAAGTTCTACATTAGTTATTCTATCATACCATTTTATTCCCTCTATTCTGCGCAGGCACCAGTTAATGAATGTCTGTAATTTATTAGTAATTGCCTTGGTTGTTCTCCATGTTTCCGCCCCATACAATAGTACTGATTTGACATTAGAATTAAAAATTTTTAGTTTAGTATTTCTTTTAATTTCTTTTGACCTACACAAATTCCCTAGTGCTATGAAAGCCCCTCTTGCCTTTTGTATTCTAATTTTAATATCTCTATCAGTTCCTCCATCTTTATCTACATTACTGCCTAAATAGGTGTACGACTCCACGTCTTGGAGTGGGGTGCCATTAAGAGAAACCACATTACTATTTGCCTGATTTATTCTCATTATCTTTGTCTTTCCTTTATGGATTTTCAGACCAAGCTGTTGTGATCTCGCATTAAGTATATTTAATTTATCTTGTATCTGATTCCGTGAATGGGACAGAAGAGCAATATCATCAGCGAAGTCCAGATCATCAAGCTGTTTTGTAGGGGTCCACTGAATTCCATTCTTGGTGTTAGCAGTTACTGTTTTCATAGTCCAGTCTATAGCCAGTAAAAATAAGAGAGGCGACAAAAGACATCCCTGTCGCACACCTGTTTTTATTTCAAATGCATCTGTTAGCTTTCCCTCATGAAGAACTCGACATTTCATGTTTTTTTTAATCGATCACCGGCTGTGAATTCCAGTGGAAGGTCCCGGTTAATCGTCCGCTTGGACTTTTGGCTTTCACCTGGACCTGATTTTTGCGTGTACAACCGTTTTTCATTTCCCTGCCTCATGGGCAGCTGTACTCCGACTTCGAAGGAAGACGTCAGGCCTATTTCTAGGGTGACTGTGGCCATTGTTTTGTGTGGGTCGAGACGTTGCCTGATTTGTGTGGTGTCCACTTTGTCTCCTTCGCCACAGGTATTGCCCCCGGAGTACCCCTTTGGGGCAGCCCCCTGTGGAACAGTTAGCCCTCAAGGGAAGGCAGGGGCAGATCATGGGCATTCCCCGCCATCCAAGGAGGCTTCCATGCATGCAGAGCCGGCACATGGCGCTCTGGTTCTGGGCTCACTCAAGGAATCGTCACGTCCTGCACATGCCTGCTTAACCTCACAACCGTATCAGGCCTCCCGCACGACAGGGGCTGCGCCCTCTGGAAGTCAGCGGGGAGCAGCCCGTGGGTTTTGGACTTTTGTGACCACACAGATAGGTACATTCTTTTTTCTTCGCACGTTAGATTTCTTTGACGAGCCGTTAGCCCGACAGAATTTTACATCCTGCATCAGGCATATCGTTATCAGTTTTGTCCCAACACTCAGGCGAGTGGGGTCTTTGGGTGTGGACATTCGGTCTTTTTCAGTTCAATACAAATTTTGATGGTCAGATTTTGATCCGTATGATCTAGTTTTGTCGGACATTTAGGCTTAGCCATCCGATGGATGGTTGCTGTTGTGGTGTACCTCAGCGCGGTGACGACACTGAGGGTTAACCGAGGATGTACATGAATGGCCAGCCTATGGATGGTTGCTGTTGTGGTGTACCTCAGCGCGGTGACGACGACACTGAGGGTTAACCGAGGATTACAAGGATGGCCAGCCTATGGATGGTTGCTGTTGTGGTGTACCTCAGCGCGGTGACGACGACACTGAGGGTTAACAGAGGATGTGCAGTGAACAATGTTCTCTTTACTCTGCAGTCTTTTAACCAAGGGTTGTAATTTTGGCTGTACGTTTGGCAAACCTACTCATGTTCCTAATGAGTTTTGATAACATTTTTCACCCAAGCGTTTGGGGGGCGGGCTGATGAGAGCCACAAGGACACATCACCTCTGGGGGCCGCCGAACTCGGAGATCCCCTGACAGCTCTGTTAATGCTCATTTGAGACATTATCCGTGGCGCACGACGAGGACGTGCTGTAGGGGTCTTGCGTGAGGTTCCGTACAACCAGGATAGTAAAGGACTGGCGCCCGAGTGACGTACGGAGTATCTCCTTATACACATCATGTTGGACTTAACTTCCCCTCACGCCTGTGACATAAATCACCGCGCCACATTTCATGTCTTTATATGTTGCCTTTACTAAGTTGATAATTTTCTGTGGGATTCAATAGTGCCCCATCAATTTCCAGAGAGATTCCCTATCAATGCTGTCAAATGCTTTTTCATAGTCTATAAATCCAATGTAAAGTGGTGAGTTCAGTTCAATGCTTTGCCCTATTATAATACGTAATGTGGCTATCTGATCAGTACAGGATCTGTTTGACCGAAAACCTGCCTGCTCATCTCTTAGCATTTTATCAATAGCATCTTTTAATCTTTCCAAAATAATTCTACTTAATATTTTTCCAGGAACTGACAGCAACATAATTCCTCTATAGTTTTCACACTCCTGTAGATCACCTTTTTTGGGCAGTTTCACAAGATATCCTTCTCTCCAGTCTGCTGGTATTTCTTCGGTCTCCCAGACTTTACTGAATAATCTATGTAGCAATTCTGTTGATGTGTTTATGTTGGTCCTGATGGCTTCAGCTGGGATACCATCTGGGCCTGACGCCTTTCCTTCCTTAAGAAGATTTATAGCTTTTCTAATTTCCTCTTTGGATGGTATCTCACAGTTGATATCCAGTTCCATTTCTAAAGGCTGGATATCTGGGGGAACCTCTGGGCCTGGTCTATTTAGAAGCATTTCAAAATATTCAACCCATCTGTCCATTTGATCTTTAGTGTTAGTAAGTACCTTTCCTTGACTATTTTTGATTGATCCAGTTGGCTGACTATATTTATCTACTAATTTTCTTGTGTTACTGTAAAGTTCTCTGAGGTTTCCTTTTGCTGCTGCTGTCTCCGCTTCTTGTGCTAGATCATTTAGATATTTCACTTTATCTGCCCTTATATGCCTCCTAACTTCCTTGTTGGCTTCTGTGTAATTCTTCTGAGCTCTAGCTTTAGCAGCTCTAGTTTTGCTATTGTTTAATTCTGCCTTTTTACTTTTCCTATCTTCAATCAGTTTAATGGTTTCTGGTGTTATCCATGCTTTATGTTTCCTTTCTTTCTTGCCAAGAACTTCTACGCAAGATTCATTCCAGATTCCTTTGATTTGATCCCAGCAGACTTCTGTGTTGACATCTTCAGCTAAATGCTGCAACACCTGGCACTTATTAGAGACCGTAACTGAGAACTGTTCCTTAATTTCTTTATCTCTGAGAAAGCCTACATTATATTGGTTTCTATGATTATAAGATGTTATATATCTTTTTAGTTTCAACTTGATTTTACTTATCACCAGGAAATGGTCAGTAAATACATCGGCACCTCTGAAAGCCCTAACATCGTAAAGGGATGATCTAAACTTTTTGTTAATACATATGTGGTCAATTTGATTAGTTGTCTTATGGTCTGGTGATTCCCATGTTGCCTTGTGTATTCTTTTATGGGGAAAAATACTTCCACCAATAACATACTGGTTATCTGCACAGAAATTTGTGAACAATTCTCCATTTTCATTCATTACTCCTAGACCATTACTGAAGGTGCTGTAATGTATTTACTGAAGGTGCTGTAATGTATTTACTGAAAGTGCTGTAGTGTCTTTACTGTATGTGTTGTAATATCTTTACTGAAGGTGCTGTAATGTCTTTACTAAAGGTGCTATAGTGTCTTTACAGAAGGTACTGTAATGTCTTTACTGAAGGTGCTTAAGATGTAGATGCTAACTGTTCCCAGAGCTCAAACTGTTCTCTTTCTCATTCAGTATAAACTCCCTGCTGGATCAATCTATTCCTAATCCCACAATGACATTTTATTACACATGTTATTTTATTTAACATTGTGTATTCTATCAGCTTTCATTAACAAATGGTCTTCAGAATGTCTCCTTTTTCCAGCACAGGTGTTCCTATAGATACTTCTGGTGCCCCATAAAATCAAAAATTTCTTTGCACACCTGCAGATCCCAGACAGTATATCTATGAGTACCTGTAATGCTGATGTGTTGATGCTTAGTATCCCCTCATGTCACATTTTGAACATATAACTGAACTGACACAGACACTATCATTCCTCTGTTAACTATACAGTGAACTACACACTTCAGAGCTACAGTTAGTACCTCGGCCTCTAATCTTATGCTTGAAGTTGTAGATCAAAAACAAAACCAAACAAAAATCACCAGTCTGTTCTGTCCCAATATTTCTCTTCAATCTAACCGAAAACCCCCAGCCAGATCTTTCACCCTGATGAACAGAACCATCAGTGTATACCAGTGTGTCATCTAGCCCAGCATTTTCATCTGTCATTGGTTGTACCTCTAATTCTGCCAAATACCGTTCATTACAGCACTCTCTACATCCTCTTCCTAATGTGCATATTGAACTGCTGTTGTGTGTATTCTTGCCCCTTTTGCTCCACTGAATCTGCCAGCTTGACGGTATCTTCAACTAGTGCCTTCCATGCCTTTCCTCTTGTCAACTGGTCTCCTCTAGAATTATTTATCATTGGTAACTGACATGAAGGACTTGGCTTGTGCCAGTGGCTTCCGGTCAAAATGGACGCTAGACAGGGGCGCTGTTTGGAGCCTAGCAAATTTTTTGCTTCTGCCAGACGGTGACCGTTGCATTTTTGCTCCATTTGTAGACTGAAAGGATATAGTTTCATCGCCCAGCTTCTGAGCTGAATGCATGGCGTGACACTGTGAGCTGCGGATTTCATTTGGAATGTTTTTTCTACTGTGACCAAAGTAGTGGTGTGAATTGTAGATTCCGAAAATGGCACAATGCCTGTTGTCGCAATGTTATGTGATTAAAATTGATCGCGTGTGCAACTGCTATATGATGGTGAATTCTGCTACCATCAATGATGAACTGCATTTCTAATGTCGGACTGTTTGTGTTAGCACTTCAGATGGCTACCGTAAGCTTTTAATGCATGTGTATACTAGATATGCTGAGACAGCAGTCTGTCAATCTTTCCACAAGGGACTGTGATAAACATTCTGTGTGTTTTTCATTGGCACAGGAGCAGAGCAACAATGGGGTGACCCGTTTGCTATGAAGCTGAAACTAAGACTACCAGTGACGGTCAAGACCTTTTAGCTAGAAAGAACAAAGAATTTTCTTTAAAAGTTCTTTGGTACATTGTGATTTGGTCATACAGAAAAAAGCTAAGCCTAGGAAAGTCTGGTTTGGCACTATTCATTAGTTAATAATAATATTGTCTTAAGTTAGTTTTACACCACCCAAATAAAACAGGGAGTAGTTTTAGCAGCAGTGTAGTGAAGTAAATATTTGTTTGTTTTGGGAAAAGATGTGGCGGCAGTCATCGGTCAGTCCCTAGCCTAGTCCTAACTAATAACTCGGCTATCCTCCGAATAACGGTCCTAAATTATCTAGGCCGAAAATATACCCTAACAGGGCCTCAGTCCCATTTAAATTGCGGACTTCCGGCGATACCGCCACCGCCGAGAGTATCTCGTGGATTGGGGCTAAACAGGATCGCTGGAACTCACAAGCAAATAAAATGAAGGAAGTTGCAGGAAATGCGGTAGCTGCTGCTCGTGAGTCCCAGCCATCTAGTTTAGCTGAAGCTGAATGTATCTCAGTGAGATACTCTCAGCGGTGGCGGTGGTCGCCGGAAGTCCACAATTAAAGTCGCCGGAAGTCCACAATTTAAGTCGCCGGAAGTACGCAATTTACATGTGACTAAGGCTCTGTTAGGGTATATTTTTGGCCTCGATAATTTGGGCCCTCGGTGGATAGCCAATAACTCAGCTCTCCTTTAAATAACGGTCGCTAGCTGGAAGGCGACGGCCGCTTAGTCGGAGTTCACTCCCTTGGCTGCAGTGCAAATACGGAGCGGACAAGTCACGAATCAAAAAACAAGGTAGGTCGACATGCCTGCTAGAGCTAGACCACGCGCTGCGACTGACAGTATCGACCGTGGTCTTGCGATGCAAGACTCTCGTAGACCACGCGCTGAGACTCAAATTAGCGACCGCGTTCTTCCCACAGCGACTTAGTGACCGTAGATGTGAGACCTGCGGAAATGTATGTCGTAATGAGCGATAAGCTTCCGTCGTGTCCGTGATGTGTCACCCTAATCCTACCCCTAACCCTAACTCTTACCCTACCCCAAACCCTACCCCTAACCCTACCACAAACCCTAACCTAACCCTACCCCAAATCCTAACCCAAACCCTAAGCCTAACGCTAGGATGACAGGTAACTATATCATTTGTTTCGTTCCCTCTTTACCACTCCGTATTTGCACTGCAGCCAAGGGAGTGAACTCCGACTAAGCGACCGTCACCTTCCAGCTAGCGACCGTTATTTAAAGGAGAGCCAATAAGTTAATAACTCTTCTTTTCGGTCTTCAGAAACACGAATATGAATGAAGACCAAAAGTTGCAACAATAATTCAAAAACTGACAGACCTGCTGCAGTATCTACCAGCTGAGCAACATTAATTTTTGAGTTATCCTAATATTTGTTACTAACCAACACAACTGCAACAAGAACAACTGCCAAGAGAACTAGCACCACGTCCATTGCTACGGGTGGCAGTTTTAACTATAGGTACACAAACTTGGTAATCGCTCCACAATTTTCATCATTCCGGAAGTTGTTGGGCGAAACAGAGCCTACAGGTGACAGTTTTCCAGTCATTGAAGACAGTGATGTCGTAAAATGTTGGATGTGGCATTTATCTATCGTGTTTGTTTGTTTTGTTTTAGTATCCAGAAGCCATGAGTGGTTTACTTACCCTTAGGCTCGGTATTATTGATATCGCAATCTTTCGGCCTTGATTTCATTGTAAATACCGTAAATCTAGGAGAAAATGCGGCTTTTCTGCCTACCCCCGGGAGTGAACCCGGACCACAAGGAGTTCGTCACCCGCTCACCGCGCAATCCGGTTTAGCCAACTATGCTAGAGAGACGGGCATATCTATGGTGAAATTATGGACTGATGCTTCCGTCCCAATAATGGACACCTTTTTTCTTTATTTTAAAGCCCCACCCTGGCTGGACTTCAGTCTGCTTCGTAACCGTCGTCGGGATTGGAGGAAACAAAAAGCGCTATGATGGTCTAGAAAGAACGATGATGAAGTGTGCAGTTTCCAGAAAACGAGGCAGAGGTCGAACTCCGCGAAGGTGGTGAAGATGCATTGGTTATGAAAGCATATAGTGCTGGAGAATTGTCTAAGAGAGAGAGAGACATACAGACCGGACGTAACGAGAGCAAAGCTCTAATTGACCTGCAGATTGACTGATTAAGCCATTTTGTGGTTCTAACATATACTTTCCGGGATTTGTGATTCTTCTTCTTCTTCTTCTTCTTCTTCTTCTTCTTCTTCTTCTTCTTCTTCTTCTTCTTCTTCTTCTTCTTCTTCTTCTTCTTCTCCTCCTCCTCCTCCTTCTTCCTCTTCGTCTTCGACTTCTTCTTCGTCTTCTTCTTCTTTTTCTTAAGTGTCGAAATAAGAACTGACGTCACAGCACCTGGGACTTTCTCTTAAGCACCCTGTCGGCATCATTGGCTGCCAACGAAATGTTCAAATTCCGATGCTACCAGTTATGTCTGGTTATTTGTTCACCTTGCCCTTTCTCTGAATGTAGCCTGAGCCTGGGACTGAGCCTCGAGAGGCAGGGGGTAAGAAGTGTTGGTGTTGTGGGTAGTGGTCCCCCCCCCCTACTTCACCATAGGTCTAGTGAATATCTGTTCAAGCAATCTGGTGGCGGGGAATGAGCACACTGTGAGCCACACCTTAGCTACGCGTTAAAGGGGAAGGCAGAAACACAACCCATATTTCCTTTAGAACTGGTACAGGGCATTTCTAGCTGCTGCCCAGGTAGGTAATCCACAGACACCCCAACACCACAATGCCATGAAAATTTAAGAATACATACGAGATCGGTCGTCGCCTCGTCTATCAAGGCCCGCGCCAGACAATGGGAAACCAGGCTGTCATGTGCGAAAAATTGGCTACTGGAAAATTTAATATACATGTTTATACTGATGGATCAGCATTTAAAGCTAGCATTAAAGCAGGTTACGGAATCTGCATAGGTTATCCCGATGGATCTATTGAAGAGATGTTTGCATGCGGGGAATTCTGTTCAAATTATGAAGCTAAAATAATTGCACTGGAAACAGCAGTATACCACCTAAAGACTAATGGATTTTTACCCTTCAAAGGTCCGAAATATTGTCATCTTCACAGATTCAATGTCTGCCCTTCAAGCTCTGGAGGGCAGTGAACTGACATAGCCAAGATAATCCCGGATGCTGATCATTTTATTACCTTATACAACATCAGAATAGTGATGCAGTGGATTCCAGGCCACTCCGGCACACTAGGTAATGACAGAGCTAACAGACTGGCAAAGAAAGGAGCAACACAAGAACAACCACCTACAGCGACAACCCTCCAGACAGCAAAAACACTTTTAAGAGCTATAAACAAAGAGACTTGGTTGAACAGATGGGCCATGGGAGACACTGGAAGAGAGGTTTATAGACATATGGCTGGCTTTAATCCTAATGACAGCATTAACCATCTAACAAGAAGGGACCAGTCAACCATCTTCAGACTAAGAACGCAACATACTCCACTCAATGGACATCTAAACAGAATACAGCCACAACCCCCCCCCCCTCCCCAGAGTGCCAGCTATGTAACTACACCTACGAAACTGTTAACACCATCTCTTTGAGTGCCCAAAACTCAGCGAGACTAGAAGAAGGCTACTCCCTCCGAGACCAGACAAGAGGAACACCTTGTACGGAGGAAAAGAACAGCTTGTGAAAACATGCAAATTCCACTACATGGCATTGGGCCAAAGGGCGAAAGCTACACCTATGAAACTGTTGAACACCATCTCTTTGAGTGCCCAAAACTCAGCGAGACTAGAAGAATGCTACTGCCTCTGAGACCAGACAAGAGGAACACCTTGTACGGAGGAAAAGAACAGCTTGTGAAAACATGCAAATTCCACTACATGGCATTGGGCCAAAGGGCGAAAGCTCATGCGCCTCCGGATCGATAACAACAACAACAACAACTCTGAATGTAGAGATTCGAGCAGATCCCCCGCCCCCATCCAGCTACACCATTCTTTCCAAGGCATAATGATCCATTGGTATCTGCGCATTGTTCATTTGTTTCCAAGGGCACTGGTCACATCCAGCCTGTTATGCACAAATTCACCATCATAACACTCCTACATGCTCCGGAGAAAATATCAAAAGAAAGCTAACTATCCGGGACCTCTGAGACGATACTTACCACTCTGCACATATCATGCCCCGTCTCCACCTTTCTTAACACGCTTTGTGAGTCGGCTACAATCAAGCCAGTGGAAAACTGCTGTGACTGCCTGGCCCTACATTTACAAGCTCGGCGTTGTAGTATAATACGCCAGACATTGTTGCACTAAGCGTCGTCCATTAGAATACGCAATGAGCTCCCCATGAACTTCTTCTGTTTCTCAACATAGAGCTATCTGCACCTGGATGCGAATGATCGTGAATCAATTGTTGGCCAGCTGGCCAATCCCGGTACTCCCGACGTGTGATTAGAACCTTGCACAAATATTTTTTTGCTCTGACATTTCGACCTACTTTTCTCATCTACCAATTTTCCCCCTTACACACATCTTAAGTTTTACCTTCTGCTTGTGCCACCCAGGACTTTACTGTAATCAACTTGTGACCCTTATCAATATCCAAGACTTCCCGAAGAAAGATTTTTTGTTGTTGTCGGCAGCTACCCTGAGGAATGACGTAGCTTGCAGAACTTGGAGCATGTCTGCAATTGTTAGTAGAGCAAGTGTGAATACACACAGACACACGTACTGCTGTGGTGTCTTGTGCATCCTTGAATAATACGCATAGTTTCATTCTGCGTACATTCAAACTTCATCGGTTGACTCTTAGATACGGTGAGTTGCCCTGGTCCATAATCTAACAGCTAAATAATTAAGTGCTGATACATTATGAACATCAGTTTTGTGTGTGCTCCATGTCCATTGCTGCCATCATTTTCAGTACATTAAGCCCCTTTTGCTGCAAATGCCTCTACGTGGTCTGTAATGACAAGCTTCTATCAAAGGTGATTCACAGGTACCTCAGTTTGCCTTGTTTATGTTTCTAATGTTTTAGATGCTTTCTTTTTAGCCGACCTTAAATGACGTCCCGTGAAGTCCAGTATTTTAGAGGGTGGTCATCATCATGTAGCAGGTCCTTTGCAGAACGTCGCTCTCATCACAGTATGCCAGTTCTCCCGCCTCATGACCTTTCTCAGGATTCAGGATCAGGATTCAGGATTCATAAGAACAAAAATTCCAAACTTTTGACTTCTTTCAGCTACCTGACGGCTTGCTATATCAAAGTCGGTTGCAGTTGTGGTTTGATTTGAATTTCTTTCTTGTGGCGATCATTTTCGCCTGAGTTTTCTTTCATTTGTTGCGTCTTGTTAGCAGCGTGGGCTTGGCGGGCGGCTTGCGGGTTTAAGGAGTGGACATGGCTGTCCTGAGAAGGACAGCCACATGTGCCGGGTGGCCTGGAACGGGATGGGCGGGGTCTGGCTTCTGCTTGTCAGGTTCTGGTGGCGTACTGGCGTCGTTCAGTTGGCGGGATGGTTTTTCCAGAAAGAGGGCGGCTCGGTTTTTTGGCTTCTGCTACGTTAGTAGCGTCGTCGTCGCCTTCCTCGGTTGTTTCTCTGGTTGGCAATGGAACTCAGTGAGACCCATTGTTGCTGTTCTGCGTTCCATACATGGCCGTTCTCTAGTGCGTAGTGATCTTCCTGGTCTCTTATGAACTGTTCCTTGTCGAAAACGTACGGGGTGGGTTCTTCGGGCGGTGCACTGCTGGCAGTCGGAAACTCCTGCTCTGCTTGTGTGTATTCTTCATCGGATATGATCTCTCCATCTGACTGTTCGGTGTCTGTGATGACTGGGATCTCTTCAGAGTCTTCTTCATTGGTTTCATCATGTTCTGGTTCGGTCATTTGCGCCTGATGCTTCGTTGTTAGGTTGTCAGTGGAGACGCTTTTGTCGGCCTTGTTATTATTCGGCTTTTTTGTGGCATTTCTTTCTTTCTCCAGCAGGGCTCTTTCTGTCTTTGCTGCTTGTGCTGCTGTTATGGCTTCTGCGGTGGCTTTCTCTAGTTTGGCGGCTTCGTGGCATGCGGCTTCCCGTGCATTTGTTATCTCGGCCAGCTCCTTCCTTCTCTCATCTCTCTCTGACTGGCGGCGTATTTCTTCTTCTGCTTGGGTTGCTCTGAGGCTGGTAAGTAGCTCTCTGGTTTTTTGAATGTTTTCTGCGTCTTCTGACTGTCTGTTTGTTTGCTGGGTAGCGTATGCCAGCCTTTCTGCCTTTAGGTCCTTGATCTCTCCTAGCAGTAGGGAAATCAGTTCCAGGGTCTCCGTTCTTTCAGCAGCGGCGGTGGTTCTTTCTTTCTGGAGCGCTGTGATTTGGCTTCTCAGTTCGTCGACTATTTGCGGTATATCGTTTCGAGTGGTGGCGGAGCGTGCCTTATCGTTTTGTTTGTC